TATATATGTGTGGGTGAGTGTATATATGAGTACAGGTGCCCAAGGAGGCCAGAGGCATCAGCCCCCCCCCCACTAGAATTTGGCATTTCAGGCAGTTGTGTATTGCCCTATGTGGGTTCTGAGGGCCAGTCTGGTGCTCTGCAAGAGTAATATGTGTTCTTAAATGCCGATCAATCTATTCAGGTCTTTCTTGGAATTTTTTTTTTGTGTGGTGCTAGGAATCAAATTGAGGGCTTTGTGCATAAAATTCTATAGAAAAAAGCATGAAGGAGGAATTGATCCATATCATTAGGTACACTTGATTTTAAGTCTGTATTGCTACAAACTGTGTTCTGTCCACACTATCACAGCTGCAATAGACTAATGGCTTAGGAAACACACTAGCTTCTATTAAGACCATACATATGGTGTTTCTTGACATGGGGGAAATGAGATTTTCTTTAAACTAGCTTCTCTATGCATCTCTGGCTAGTGTCAAATTATCCAGCCTCCTGCCTTGGTCTCTCACCTTTTGAGTTTTGGGATTGGGATTGTAGATGTGCATGTTAATTTTTTCCTCTAATGTTGAATTATGAGAAATTGTAGGCACATAAACAACACTGAAAGACTTTACTTCATATATTTCTCTAACATCTTTCATTCATTTTAAAGTAAAAACATACCTGTGCCTGGTGGCATATACCTACAAACTTGGCATCTTGGCAAGTGGAGGCTGGAGGCTACCAAAAGTGAGATCCTTTCTCAAGAAATCAAACCAAACCAAACCAAACCAAATCAAATCAAATCAAATCAAACAAACAACAAAACACTCCAAACCACAAAAGGTGGGAAGGATTCATTTTGCGTTCCTCGTCAAATGGCGGCAAATCCTCTCCCCATGTGTGTACTCGTTGGTGTTCATTGTGTTGCCATGGATTCATATCACTTGGACTTAGTGGAGCGAGTTAAGCCCTTATTGACTGCCAGAGACGGAGTGATTGTTGAGACTTTTGGAGCATCCTGTTCCTCATGCAATTATTTGGCTGTTGTCTTCGTCCTGGGTATGCCTATGTGTATCCTTCCATGTGGGTGGCTATGACAAAATAGCACAGACAGAGATGTAGCCTGAATAATAAAAACCCTGAGGCAGATACTGGGATTCGAACGGAAAGATCGGAGAAATAAAGCAGCCAAGCCATTAGAGACTTCTTACCTCTACCAAGACTCAGACAAACAAAGGGGCAATCCTGTCCCCAACATGACTGTAGACTGCAAAGATCTCCACCAAACCTCAGACTGTAGACCAAGACCCTAAGCTCCTGGCTCTCCCATTTTATATTCCTCTCTGGTGCTGGGATTAAGGGTGTGTGCCACCACTGCCTGGCTTGTATGGCTGACTAGTGTGACTACTTTGCACACTGATCTTCAGGCAAGCTTTGTTTATTAAAACACAAATAAAATGTCACTATACAGAGTGGCTCCTAACCAACAGAAATGTATTTTGTGTGGTTGTGGAGGTCAAGAAGCCAGTATTATTGCAGAAGTAATTTCTCCTGTAGGTCTTCTTTCTGGCTCAGAGACTACTTATTTTTTTTTCTCCCTGTATTCTCACACGGTGGGAAGGAAAAGGACCTTTATTCATCCTGTTCATAAAGAATCTGTCTAATGAGCTACTCATATCCCAGGCTCCCCCACTTGGAGGTTAGCATTTCAACACATTATAACGGAACACCATGGGCTCATGTCTTGGTGAGTGCAAAGTGCATAAGGAAAACCAGGAGGTAACTGAGTGGAGAACAGTTTATTATTTCAGCAACAAGTACAAGAGCACTGGAGATAACGATCAAAGTGGTGTCTGTGGAAGCAAACCAAGCAAGAAGATTGCCTGGAGTCTCACCAGTAAGCAAAGCGTGTGGGACACCAAGACAGGAGTTTTGCTAGTTCAAGTTCAGCATGGGCTGCATAGCTAGACTTTGTCTCAAGGGAGTTTGAAAAATCCAGGTGACATTTGTTAGAGAAGTTTATCCATATTTGTTGTCACAGGTAGGGGTGGGAACATCCTTGCGCATGCTCTGTTTGAATTCATGCTTCCTACAGGGCACATTTTAGAGAAAGGTCATGAAAGTGTCTCTCCTAGGGGTTGGATTTAATGTTGAACTACACAGAATTACTCTAGGCAACCAGGAGGGAAGGGGCAGGTCAGTCCAGGCATTTTGGCTGGTTCTGGGCCAGTTTCTCTGATGGACCTTATTAGCAACAGAAAACAATTTCAGACTGTTTTGTCATTAGAGGAGAAGTAACTTTTAATTTTACAAATATAGAAGCTGGGCGGTGGTGGCGCACACCTTTAACCCCAGCACTCGGGAGGCAGAGGCAGGCAGATCTCTGTGAGTTCAAGACCAGCCTGGTCTACAAGAGCTAGTTCCAGGACAGGCTCCAAAGCCACAGAGAAACCCTGTCTCGAAAAACCAAAAAAAAAAAAAAAAAAGAAAAAAAAGACAAATATAGGTGATTTTACTTATCTAGTGGCTAACAATTGAATGCTGAGAGCTGCACTGGATATCAAACGCCATGGTGGCACAAATATATAGCACTAGGAACACAGAGGCAGAAAGATTGTTATGATTGAGGTCCTTTAGTCTCTAAAAAAAAAATCCAACAAAACAAAACACCCAATAAACCAGGGTCTTGGTCATTTGAGGTGAGGGATTTACAAACCAAGTTCCACCCCTCAGCACTTATTAACCTTTAAAACAATAAGAGTAGGAAATAGGGTTGGGGGTGTGGATCAGTTTGTAGGACACTTGCCTACCATTAGCATTGTCCTTGGGCAAATCAGCTGTTCTTTGATGCAATTTCTACAGTCTTTCACTGAATGCCAACCACACAGGGGTGTTTTGAAGACTCGTGGCATGTTTTCATTTTGTTTTTCTTTGAGACAGGGTCTTGCTGTGCATTCCTGGCTGGACTAGAGCTCAATATGTACAGCAGGCTGACTTTGAACTTGAAGATCAACCTCCTCTACCTCTTGACTGCTGGGATTAAAGGGGTGCCCCACCACCTTCTACCACTTGCGAGGTGGTTTATAGGATTATAAACCAATTGATTGGTGTGTCAACGAATGGCCCTTCTGCATATCCATTTCAAAATCCTTAGAACCTGTGAATATGTTATCTGAAATGACAAAAAGGACTGTGTAAATGTGGTTAAACTAAGGATCATGTGATAAATGATGATCCTGGTTTAGCCCATGAACTTAGTGTAAGGAAAGGAAAAGAGAAGGCAAGAAAGTCATGGTCATAGTAATACAGGACGAGAACGACTCTGGCAACCATTGCTGGCTTTGAGGACAGACAGTTTGAGGGCCATTTTTAGAAACTGCAGAAGGTAAATAAATGGATACTGACTTAGAGTCCAGAAGAACATAGCCATTCTGACATTTGGACTTTAGCTCATTTCCAACTCTTACTCCCATAACTATAACATAATACATTTATGTTCATTGAAGCCACTGAGTGGCTAATTTGTTACAGAAGCAGCCAGACATTAATACAGGTAGCTTTGCTGTTATTACTGTATTTTAAACTCTGTATTCTGGCTTTTATTGATGTAATTTAATGTAAGCACTGCTGCAAAATCAAATAGATCTTTTTTTGTCCTAGTGCATACTATTTCTCAGTTTTCCTAATTGTAGCTCTTCTTAGAGAGTTGTCTTTAAAAAGAGCCCAGCTTTCCCTATAATAAACAATAAATGTAAGGCCTTGTGGATAAACTGCAAGACAGTTGATAGTAACCTCTTTTTAGGTTCCCCATTAACAGATATTGTCAGCCTATGAATTGATTTGTCACAGAAAACAGTCTCTGAGGCCCTGTTCAGGAAAAAGTTCAAAACTAGCTATGGCCTTTGTTTTTTTTTCTTTTCTTTTCCTTTTGTTAACTTTTTCTTGATTCTTGGTGGACTTCACATTGTGCATCCTGATCGCACTCGACTCCCTGTGCCCTTGCTTCTGCCCTCTGCCTTTGCAAACCTCCCCAAATTTAAAAGCTCAAGGTCCAAAGCAGGAGCAGAAGGAGAGCGAACATGAGCAAGGAATGCAGGACTGCGAGGGGTGCACCCACACTGAGACAATGGAGATGCTCTATCGGGAACTCACCAAGGCCAGCTGACCTGGGTCTGAATAAGCCTGGGATAAAACCGGTCTCACTGAACATAGAGGACAATGAGGACTACTGAGACATCAAGAACAATGGCAATAGGTTTTTGATCCTATTGCATGTATTGGCTTTGTGGGAGCCTAGGCTGTTTGGATGCTCACCTTACGAGACCTGGACAGAGGAGGGTTTTCCTTGGACTTCCCACGGGACGGGAGGGAGGGAGGGGGACATGATTGGGGGAGGGGGAGGGAAAGGGGAGGCGGAGGTGGGGAAGAGACAGAAATATTTAATAATTAAATTTAAAAAAAAGAAAAATAATAATAATAAAAAAAAGAAATTAAAAAAAAAAGCTAAACAAAACAAAAACAAAAAAACCTCAAGAAACCAAATCACCACCACCAAAACCAACCAACCAACCAAACAAACAAGCAAGCAAAATCTCAACTTGGAGGCTGTAGTGTGGCTCAGTATACCCTTTAGTCCAAACTTGGTGGCCTCTGTCTCCTCAGCAAGGGGTTCTGGCCCTAACACAGACCCTACAGTAGGCACCAATGAGAATTAGTGTCTGTACTGTATGATCTATGAGACACAGGAAAAGTAGGAAAAGAGTTGGTGTATCTGAGGAAGGTTGAAGGAGGACCGAAAAGACAGGACAGTCCAACCAAATACTGCAGAGAGACTGCCTCCTATCATCCATCCTTTTGAGTTTTTGTGGCAGTTAGGGAAACTTTGCATGCACCCTCAGGGACCGGGGCGGTACACCTGCCCCTGTAGGATCTCTGTGCCTGGAGCCGGCTTAGGGAAGCAGATCTGGGAAAGCGGCCACCCTGGAGGGTTGGTGGGAGACCGCAGGGTGGAGTCATGGGACGTGCAAACGGAAAGACTACATCTCCCAGGCCGCCACGCTTTCCAGCTGGAGTCCTAGGGCGCTGACTGCTCCCCAGTTTCCGTAGGGAAGCGCCAGGCTACCACAGCTATTGTGCGTCGCGCTGTCGCCCTCCTCTTCCCGCTGTTGCTGCCCTGTTGTTGGAGGAAAGCTACGTCTCCTTGGCCGCCGGGTTTAACCCTTTAAGCGCCAAACCCGGCAGCCTGCCGGCTCCCAGGAACGAGTAGGCGGTCTCTGCAGTTGCCGAGTTGTGGGCAACGAGCCCCGAAGACCCTGAGGAAGACAGCTGAAGGGAGCCTGTGCTGCCGGTCGGTCTCGGGCTTGGGGCTAGGCCAGCATGAAGCAGTGGCATTGGCTTTAAGAAGGGGGAGGGGAGGCGCGGTCCGCCGCTCGGGGAGCCAGGAAAGGAAGCCTCAGCTGGTTGGCTTGGGAGCGCAGAGAGGCGGCCCCCCGCATTCGCGCTCTCCCCGCCTCCACCCTGGGCTGCCCAGGACTCAGCGCTGTGCTTCGGGGAGGCGATGACCAGGGGGCGTGCTGCTCGCTAGGCTGCACCCTGCCGGCGTCAGAAGGCGTTGGTAAGCATTCCTGGTCACCCGCAGCCACCACCGGACTACGCGCTCCTGCTACACACCAGCGGGCGCTCCCAAGTGTTCCATTGGAACAGGTACCTGTCCTCCAAAGGGAGTGGGGCTGAGTCGTCTAAAAGTGGAGCCTGAACGCCAGCCACTAGGTCTATTCTGCTGATTGTGCCACTGATGCTCTTGCTCTTTGTCTCTAACCCCTAGTCCCTCCGCTGCCGTAACCATGGGGCATCCCCCGCTGGAGTTCAGCGACTGCTACCTCGACAGCCCCGATTTCCGCGAGAGGCTCAAGTGTTATGAACAGGAGCTGGAGAGGACCAATAAATTCATCAAAGACGTGATCAAGGACGGCAGCGCGCTTATCAGCGCTATGAGAAGTAAGTGGAAGGCTTCCATGAGCCGTTTCCCTGAGTAGGTGGTTCTGGCCTTTAAACCTTTCCATACCACAGGGGGATGGGAGGATCTGCAATGACTCTCAAACCAGGTCTCTGAATCTGATGGATTTCCAAACCTTTGGATGTGGGGTCACCAGAAGGGGAAAGTGGTGATGACAAGCAGAACTTTGGGCCTTTCCCTTTAGTATCCCCAACCTTCTAAGACTTAATATGCAGCCCGGACAGGGGCCCTCTTATTTTGCAGTTACTCTTACTTACCAGCTCCTTATTGAAAATGAGAGTCTGCCAGCCGGTCAGATATGCCCAGCACCCTTGCCTGGTACAAGGTGACTTCCATGCTGACCAAGGAACTACCCCAGCACTCCCGAAAGAATTGGGAATTAAGGCTAAGAGCGCCTTTATAACGACTTTTGTTCTAGCCTCTAGTTATTACAGAAAATTGTAGGGCTTTAAAGAAATTACCCTTCCCTTCAGATTCTTGGTTGCCTTCACATACTACTGAATTCTGCTTCATTGGTGAACAAAACCCTGTCAAGTTCATGATCCAAGAGGCCCAGATCCCCTGGGTGTAAACTACAGGGGTAGGGTGGAGGCCTGCTACATTGAAAGGACCTTTCCTAGCTTTGCTTTTTCAGTGGTCACAGTTTCCTCAGCTGTGAGACTGTTTTTTCCTCCTCTGTGTGTAGGCTTTGATTTCTGCTGGTTGTCAGGAGGCTCCAAGAAAAAGAAAGAATAATAAACATCCCCAAAGAAAGTCTAAGGAAGCCAACCCTCGGTGTCAAATTATATACCTAGAAGAATGGAGGGTAATGATTAAGAAGTGATGATTAAGTATTTTTTCTCTCCTTGGCTGAAAGATAACTGTGAAAGGTACAGTCGTTTTGTAGGAGTCCCTCTATGCCTTTAACTTTGTTTTGAGTGGATTTACCCCGACCCCATCCCATGTCAAGGTTGCGTGGACCCTGGTATCAAGCTGTTATGGCCAAGCAGCAATGGAGAGACTCTTAGACGCTTTGGTGCCACAAGAACTGCTGCAAGCCAGCATTTCTCTGTAGCAGTTCTGGTTCGTGGTGGTCTGGCCACTCTTGGTCAGAATCTGTAAACTGTTCCTTCGAGTTCCTTAATTGGGTTTGATCACTTAATGCTTTGTTGTTGCATCACCTGGCCAATAGCAAACTTGTGTTAGCACCTTAAAGATGGAATATTTGAAATGCTGAGCCTTGCAGACTTGTAGGCCAGGCTTTTTGGGTGTGTCTCCTCTTAATAGAGTTCATTGAGAGGTTGAGGATATGGAGGTTGTGCCACAGAAATAGAAACTTGAGGGCTCTGTGAAAGGAAAAGGGGACTGTTTGGATTGCAGATTTCTTCTTATTGCGGACTGCCTGGTGTAGTAGTCACCATCAAAGAAAGCTCAATATAAAAGTGCTAGGCAGGAGGTAGTTTTTAATGACATGTATGGCAAGCTGAAATTGTGCTAAAAATGAACAGCTAAGTCATATCCAAGTGATTAAGCTGTGTAAGAAAAAAAAATATCAGTTCAGTAAAACATTTCGGGGAAAGGCAAAATGTTTGTCTCTTTCTCCTTTCTTTCTTTCTTTCTTTCTTTCTTTCTTTCTTTCTTTCTTTCTTTCTTTTTCTCGTTCTCTCTTTCTTTCTTCTTTCCAGTTCTGGGGAATGCATTCAGATCTTTGCATATACTAGCTACATATGTAGGTCTTGGTTTGGGGGGGGGATAGGGTCTCAAAATGTAGATTGGGCTTGCCTTTAACTGCTAATCTTTCTGCCTTAGCTTCCCAAGTGCTGGTTTATAAGCATGCAAATGTTTTGCAAATTAAAAGGCAATAGTGGGTTTTCTCCTTTCTATTATTTCGGAGACTAAGAGTGGGAAGATAGAGCAACTATGCAGGCTCAAATCTTTGCTGCTCTAGGGTAGGGGTTCTTTAATATTTGTGCTGCTTTTCTATTTCAGAGTCAAAATGGGATGGGGAGATATTAGAGCCCAGATGACTAACTCGTGCCTTACTACTTTTCTTTGAGCTCCACAGTTTTGAAATACTTGAGTAGCTAACGGCAAAGATGGAATTGTTTCCTACCATCTTCATCACAGAAGTCCTTGTTCCCCACACGCTGCTTTTTCAGGCTGGGACTGCTCAGCCACTTTTTCCTGGTATGTAGGATAGATGCAAAACAGGTGTGCTCCTCCTAAGTGAAGGAAAGAGGAAAATATCCCACTGGGATTAGATTTGGAAGACCTCGGATACAGTTGTGGCGCTTCCCCATTTTGGGATCTGGCAAAAACCATTTCAATTGTGAAATGTAATTCAAAAATCAAGAAAAAAAATCTCGTAGGAAAGAAAAATGTGAAACTATCCCAAATTAAGTAAACACTGGTTAACTTTATGGTAATGTACAACAGGAAATTTGTGCAATATGAAATTGGTGGTGGGCTGGGCATGAAGTTCAGTATTAGAATGTTTACCTGTCAAGTGCAAGACCCTGTATTCCTTCCATAGTACTGAAATTTTTTTTTAAAAAAAATGCTATAGTAATGGTGGTAATTATATCCACCTCACGGGGTAGTTGTGAGTCTCAAGGAAATTAATTCTTTTTTTTTTTTTTGAGAGAGGGTTTCCCTGTAGCTTTGGGGCCTGTTCTAGAACTCAGTTTTTAGACCAGGCTGGTCTCGAACTCACAGAGATCCACCTGCCTCTGCCTTCCAAGTGCTGGGCTTAAAGGCATGCACCGCCACCGCCAGGCTCAAGGTAATTAATTCTAAAAGGTTTTGTAAAATGGAATGACTAAAACAGGCACATTGTTGATAGTCTATCTTTTGGTTATTAATACATCTGTTGATGAGTGGTGTAATTTTCAGTAAAGTTCAGAAAGAAAATACACGAATAGAAGTAGTTGGAAACAGACTCTTTCCTTGTTATCCTGATGGAAAAATTCCCTCATCATGAGGGCACAGCTCAGTGATTAGTTTTGTATTCATGCTCATGGATCCATCTTCGCATCTGGAACCTGGCAATAAAAGGCAGGACAATGATTGACACTTAACTAATTTGGATACGAAGTCAAATGGCGAGCATTCTTGCAAACCTTGAGACATGACACACTGAGCTGCAAAACTCACTTGTAATTTTCCTTCTTGTTGTTAACCCAGGTGAAACCTGATGTCAGTACTTTATCTTACTGTGTAATTTTTGCATAGAGCTCTGGATAAACTTTAAGCCACATGTATGTGTGACTATTAGTGTGTTAAATGTGGTCCTGTTTGAATTGTGTGCTGGTTAGGTTTTTTTTTTTTCTTTGTTTTTATTTTTGTCAACTTGACACAGCCTGAGTTGTCTGGGAAGAGGGAAACCCACTTGAGGGATTGTCTCCATCAGATTGTCCGAAAGCAAGTCAGTCGGGGGATTTTCTTGATTGTTATATAGGAGGTCCCAGCCCATTGTGGGCAGTGCCACCTCTGGGCAGTTGGTACTGACTGGGTGATGTAAACAGGCAAGCCAGAAAGCAGTGTCATTTCCATTATCCTCTGCTTCGCTTCCTGCCTCCAGGTTCCTGCCGTCAGAGATGGACTGTGACCTGGGAATTATAAGCAGAAATAGACTGCTTCCTCCCCAAGTTGCTCTGGCCAGTGTTTTTTATCCCAGCAACAGAAAGCAAGCTGGCACAAATACTTAAGTTTATTTAATTTGATGCTCAGAGGTAATTGATGTTCCAATAGCTGCCTCCTCTGATGGGTGCCTGATCCCCCACAAATGTGATTTATTTATAATTTTGGGAGCATATGACGATTATAACTTAAGCTAATAGAAAATAAACCACTATCCCTCTGAAATATAAAGACTGTGGCTGCTTTTCTGTGGTCCTTTGCTGACTCTCCCTCTCCCCCTCCCCTGCTCTCTTCCTTTCCCCCTCCCTTGCTCGCTTCCCCCCTCCCTCCCTCCCTCCCTCCCTCCCTCCCTCCCTCCCTCCCTCCCTCCCTCTGTGCATGCTTATGTGTGTGCATGTGTGCTGAGGATAGAGCATAGGGCCTTATGCATGCTGGACATGCCTTCTCCTACTAATCTATATCCCTGTGCCTCTCCTTTTTGATGGTGACAGGTTAAAGCCTTTTGATGTTAGTGAATATTTGCTGAACACTGAGGCTAGGCATTGTTCAGTATAAATCATATGGCCCATTGCTTATATGGCCTCAGAAACCTGAGACACTTCATGTAGACTATATATAGTTTTAAATACCATTCATTCAGTAAATTCCTGGGTGCATACTATGTTCTTTTTTTTTTTCATACTATGTTCTAATCTTTGTTCAGATGACTGTTAGACACACAGAGTGAGTCACAGGTGGATATTGACCCCAAGAAGTTTCGAGCCTAGTAAGGGAGATGTGTACAGGAGAAATCACTGCTGTATAAGGTATTAAAGTTGAGAACTTTAGAGTTGGATGGTGGACATGATTGTATGTGACATTAGAGAGAGGGAGAGAGCTTATTTCTTGGTGGAAGACAGAGGAAACAAAGGAAGAAATAGAATTGGAGCTTGCCAGAATTAACAGCACTGTGATTTATTAAACTGTTCCCGCCTATCAGTGATTCTTAATTAAATTTTTTTAGATGTTATACTTTATGGACAGGCTATGCCAAAGGAAATGGTTAGGTGGGAGTGTAGTTTTTGCTGTATTTTAGTAAGAGTCACTGAGAGCTTATCAAGAATAACAAGTTAGCATTCTATACAAATGTTTCTGACTGTTTTTTGAGACAGGGTCTCATGTAGCTCAGGCTTACTTTGAATTCACTGTGTATCCTGGGCTGGCCTTGACTTCATTATCTTTCTTCGTCACTGTCTCCAGGGGTGGAATTAAAAGGGTGTGCCACCAAACTCGACTGTTTTTGTGGCATTTAACATTTTTTTTTTTAAAAGACAGGATCTTGTTCTGTAGCCCAGGCTTTCTTGGAGCATGCTAAGTAGCCCAG